TGTTGTTGTTGTTGTTGTTGCTTTTGTTGCTGTTGTTGTTGCTGCTGTTTATGTAGTTCTCATTTTCATTCTTTTTATTTATTCTCGTTTTTCCAGTTCTCCTTCTCGCAGACGCCGAACACGATCACCATCCTGGTCGAAATCAAGAGGGCGTGGCAGATCACGCTCGAGATCTTGGTAAGAGACAATACTACTACTGTTGTTGAGGTCAAAAACATGAACTAATAAATGAATCGATGAATGAATAAAGGGATGGAATGGGATGAATGGGATGGATAAATGCATGGGGTGACGGCTAAATGGATAGTTGGTTGGATGTTTGGAGGAATGCATAAATGAATGGTTGTATGAATGAATGAGAGGTGCGCAAATATAGTGACAAATAAAATGAATGATTGATTGAAAAAGTAAACTGAAAAAGAAACAAAAAAACGAATGACTGAATTAACGGGAAAACATGATTTTTTTTTCAATACTCCAGGGACAAGAGTAGAGACTCGTTCAGAGACCGAAGAAGGCGATCACGTGAAAGGTCCTTGTCACGTGATAGGAGCAGACGTTCAAGAAGCAGGTCAGTTAAGTTACGGTAAAGGTGTCTTAGATGTGGGCGCGCTCGTTTTGGAGGCTAAATCCACAGAAAAATTATAAAGGCTTTGCACCATTCTTCGATTGCACGTTACGTCATCACGGCCATGTTGGTACCATTTAACAAAAGATTTCTCATTAGCGTCCATTGTTAACGCTACCACAATGGCCGCCATGTTTTTGCCTCATAACTCTCTTGGGAATGCTTGCAACCCATCAATTACGTGATGGCAGCCATGACAGGAGGTACGACAATAGAGTCGTTCTCCCCCGGAAAACTGAATTCTTTCTCATGTAAATCAGATTACACCAGATTCAAATATTCCTTCCTCCTATCAAAGCCTCTATTCACCATTTTCCATATATCGGCTCACTGGTCAAACACAAATTTAAATAATCCTTTGAAAGTACCTTGGCGCCTCGCTTGAGCGCTTTGTGTTCGACCAGTGAACCAGTGTATGGAAAATGGTGTCGTATTTCTTGGTCCAACTGATCTCATTTAATACCACGTGTCATGACCAAGACATTTATTCTTAAAGAAAAGACACGTTGTTTGAAATGGGGTAATATTACGCGCAAGGTTAAGAGGTCTATTAAAATAAATAAGATAAATATATTTTGTATTTATACACGGTAAGCTYGTAAGGTAGAAGCTTGTGGGGACGTGTATCCTTCATATACACTCTTACTACATTCGAATATTATTTACATAGAACACTCGACTCACATGTTGATTTCAGTTTATGGAGGGAGGAAACCGGAGAACCCGGCGAAAACCCTCGTAGCATAGGAGAGAACAACACATCAAACAAACTCAATTCACATTTGGCGTCCTCAGGGCTCGAACCGACCGTTGGACTCATGCACAGCGGTGAAAGACGACACATCTGTAGTGTATGCCACCCCCTGATGTTTCAAACCCTCTATTAACGGATATATTTTGATTTTAGGGAAAGACGTCGGCCCCCTCCACGCTCCCCTGACAGATCACGTGACAGATCACGTGACAGATCTCGAGACTATGGGAAAAAATCTAGGGATCGATCCCGAGAGAGATCCCGCGATAAAAGTCGTAGGTCGAAAGAGAAATCCCGCGAGAGGTCCCGCGAAAAATCAAAGGAAAAGTCTCCCGTAAGGTCCCGTGAGAGATCCCGCGATAAATCTCGCAGGTCTAGAGAGAGATCCCGCGAAAAATCAAAAGAAAAGTCTCCCGTAAGGACCCGTGAGAGATCCCGCGATAGGTCACGCTCGAGGTCGGTGGAGAAATCACGTGGTAGTCGATCAAGGGGGAAGCCTCGTGATAGGTCGAGGGAGAGATCACGTGACAGGTCAAGAGAAAAGTCGACAGAAAAATCAGCTGACAAGACCGAAGACGCGGCTGAAGAAGAGCCGGAAAAAAGTGCCAACAGGTCTGATAATGACATGGACTTGGACGAAGACAGGCCAAGAAAGTCGAAAGAAAAGGACCGCGAACGAGAAAAGAGCCGTGAAAAAACTAGAGACAAGGATCGTGACCGTGACAGGGAGCGTGACAGAGATCGCGACCGTGACCGTGATAAGGATCGTAAAGATCGTGACAAGGATCGCCACCGTGATAAGCGTGACCGTGATCGTGACAGAGACCGTGAGCGTGACATTGACTTAGATCGTAAGCGAAGATCAAGTCGTTCGCCGTCTGAATCTCCAAGGCGCTCAAGGTACGTCTTATATAAACGACAACGAAAGTCACACAATATTGAATGACTCTCGGTCACCCTGTTCCCTTTTTTTGAACTTTTATTCTTTGTGTAGGTAAACATTCCTAACCCCCTCCCCTTTAGAATTCTCTGTTGCTCAGGGCTAGCCTCCATTCTATATTAGAATATTCACGTGTTCTAGTGAAGGTTCGTGGAGTTTCAAAGTGTTTGTATTGTTGAAGTTGTGCATTCTTTACTTTACCGTTGGTATTTGTGAATRTTGTGACACTGAAATAAGGCTAACCCTGAGTAAACGAGTCTGTAATCAAGAAACACATGGGCATAACTAACTTCCTACGCAGAGGTTCCTAGTGTCACGCAACGTTTCCACACACTAAGAACGTCTGCGTAGTAGGCTAGGGTATTTCACGAATTCGGGAAAAAATCTATCGCATTTAAACAGATAAGTATGGTGTAATCGGATTTCGGTCAAACGCCCCGCGGTGACTCGATCGTTTAATTCAATTTAACTTTTTATGCCATATCACATGTAATCTTGTCTGGAAGAATTGGTTAAAGCATGGTTAAAGTCAAGCTGCCGGAAATCAGTTCAGCACTGCTGACAAGATTGGCACGCCCTTCTAGATTAGTTTACGGAATTTTATCAAGAATGGTACTCCAGTGTATGTAATAGTGTTAGGAGAATCAAAGGAGTTTAAATACTAGTGTACCCTCCTTTTACCTCTGCGGTCTCGTGTTCGATTTCTGGACTCAGTATCAATTGCGAGTATAGTTTGTTGAGTCTATTCCTTTTTCCAAGGGTTTTTCTCGTGGTTTTCTACCAACGCAAAACCCATCACGCTGGATTTCAATTCGATCTATGAGTTAGCCATGCCCTGACTTAGATCAGCCCAGAGGTTGTTCCAGGGTTTGATCTGTGAGTTAGCCATGCCCTGACTTAGATCAGCCCAGAGGTTGTTCCAGGGTTTGATCTGTGAGTTAGCCNTGACTTAGATCAGCCCAGAGGTTGTTCCAGGGTTTGATCTGTGAGTTAGCCATGCCCTGACTTAGATCAGCCCTGAGGTTGTTTCAGGGTTCGATCTGTGAGTTAGCCGTGCGCTGACTTAGATCAACTCAGAGATTGTCTCAGGGCTTGGTCTGTGAGTCAGCCATGCTTGACATACATCAGCCCAGAGGTTGTATCAGAGTTAGACCTGTGAGTTAGCCATGCCCTGACTTAGATCAGCCCTGAGGTTGTTTCAGGGTTCGACTTGTGAGTTAGCCGTGCCCTGACTTAGATCAGCCCAGAGGTTGTATCAGAGTTCGACTTGTGAGTTAGCCATGCCCTGACTTAGATCAGCCAAGAGGTTGTTTCAGGGTTTGATCTGTGAGTTAGCCGTGCCCTGACTTAGATCAGCCCAGAGGTTGTTTCAGGGTTCTATCTGTGA